CCCAGCCACCCTACCCGACCCCACCCTACCCCCTGGCGGCCTCAGGTTTGTGGGGCGTACGTAACTCGGGCAGGGAGGTGAAGGTGGCAGGCCCCCACTGCCCCGCCCCAACGGGGTGAGGCGGTCTAAGCTCGGGAAGCTGGGATACGGTTGTCTTCCCTTCCCGGGGGTAAGTTGGTGGAGTTTTTCCGGCAGAGGACTCGGCGCAGAAACTTCCTCCGTCCCCCTCCCCCCCTCCATGCAGGCGACGCCGAGCGAGGCTGAGGCTGGGGGCGAATCGCCGCAGAGCTGCGTGTCGGCAGCGCACTCTGACTGGACAGCGGGGAAGCCTGTCAGCTTATTGGCCCCGCTGATCCCGCCCCGTAGCGCGGGGCAGCCTTTAACCTTTGGCCCCAGCGGGCGCCAGCCACTCAGATCGCTTCTTGTTGGTATATGCGGCGGTAGTGGCCGCCGGCGGAGCAGTCTGAGCCAGACGATGAGGCCGGGGACGGGAGCCGAGCGTGGAGGCCTCATGGTGAGTGAGATGGAGAGCCATCCTCCCGCGCGGGGTCCTGGGGACGGGGAGCGGAGATTGTCCGGCTCAAGCCTCTGCTCCAGCTCTTGGGTCTCTGCTGACGGCTTCCTGAGGAGACGGCCCTCGGTAAGGGATCGGTGTGGCAGGGGAAAAGCGGCACAATGAAAAACGGAGTCAGACAGGAAGCTTTCTCCAAAAGGAGGAGAAGATAAGAGTGGACGAAGGCAGAGCTCGAGGTGGTGGGATGTGTTCCGAGGGAGTGAAATGGAGGGCGAGAATGCACAAAGGAAAGGATGTGGGACCCTGGAAGTTTCCAGTGGGCTTGGTTTAGATGTGCCGTGGAGGTGCTGGGCCCTGAGCTGGGTGACGGTCCCCGAGAGGTAGGCCCGACTTAGGAGAGGGAGGCGGAGACGTGATTCTGTAGGCTTTAAGAGAGTCAGCCAAGATCCGTTTTCACTCGTAGTAGTGGTGTCTGTAGGGTGGACAGCTGGGAAAATTGGCAGGTGATACATTACCTGGTTTTAAGACCCAGAACGACGGACACACAGGTAAAGGAAGTAGATGTCGTATAAAAGCACGTTAAAATGGATGAATTAGTTTTTTTGCATTTAGTGTGTATCAATGACAGACCTCAGTCTTGGAATAAAAATTTTTTTGGTAGAAGTAATTTTACCCGTATAAAGATTATATTAGGAAATACTATGTTTATTAGGAAATGAGGTGTCCTTGGGTACCCATACTATATTGATATATGTTTTATAAGACCAGCTCTTATTTGAGTTAACTTGGTAAATTAAGCGTTTTAAAACTTAAAATCAGTCTAGAAATTAATTTTAAAATAACTAGCCTTAAAAAATAAAAATAGTTGTCTATCTTATGTCTGTGTGATATAGGACAGAATTGTGGTTTTCACTATAACAGTTAAGTTGGCTTTCACATACATTTTTTTCTGAGTTTAGCAAGTCAGTAACTGACTAAATGAATGTGCTTTAAAAAAAAAAACCCATGATCTAGCAGCCCTAGTTTTAGTTTTTTTACATTTTGTTCTGGAATTTGATTAGTTGAAAGCTCATTATAAATATTGATGTAGGCATTTTTGTTTAAGACAAAGTATAAACTAAACTAATAATGAAATCACACGTTAACCTAATATATCACTGCACATAACTGATTTGTTGAAATCAGTTTTTTGAGACTTGCTAATTTAGACTTGTTAACTTGCTAATTTTAAAATTTTCCTTATTTTTCAGATGGGGCACCCTGGCATGCATTATGCCCCAATGGGAATGCACCCTATGGGTCAGAGAGCAAATATGCCTCCTGTACCTCATGGAATGATGCCGCAAATGATGCCCCCAATGGGAGGGCCGCCAATGGGACAAGTAAGAATGTTTTTGTTTTATTTTGTTTTTATTTATTTTTGCCTATGATATTGTGCCAAGATTTCAAAATCTGGGTCAATACTTGTAGCTATTTAAGGATTACTTTATGCCAAAATAATGTTTTCAAATAAGTGAAATGTTGAATCATGATACTAACCATTTTGAATACAAAGAAAAGTCTTTTGTATAAAAGATCAACTTTCTGTTGCAACAAAACTAAAAGTTTTTATTTAAAAGTAACACTGTAAATGGAGACTTTTTAATGATTTTTTTTCCCCAAGTATGTCAATTGAACTTAATAGTGTAAGGATAAATATTATCTGATAGAGCAACATAATTTACTTCGGCGGACTATGTAAATACTTAGAATCTGAAAATTGTACTTGTTTAGGTCTTTGGCTTAGAATGAATTTTATTCCTGAAATAACTTCCTCGTGTGTGGGGGGGGTGAAGGGGGAAAGGTGGGGAGATTCTACTCTAATTTGATTCTTCATAGGACAGTGCCAAATAGGTAGTTGCCACTTACGTTATTTTGTTGTTATTGTTGTTTTAATACTTATTGCTTCTGCACTACTGCTTTTGAGCCGTCCCTTCCATCTCCAACATAATTTGTAAATGGACATTTTGTGGGAGTGATCTGGGTCAAAAGATTTTAATGCGGACTCAGTGAATTTAGTAGAACTGAGTTCTTAGAGAACCATTCAAGAAAGGTAACAGATTCAGTTACCATGAATAATTTTACGCCCTGTTAGTCTATAATAATTTCTTAGTAGAGCTGCTTTAACTAGATAATGAATCCTTTAAATGCTCTCATTATTTAAAATTAGTTTGGTGGCTGTGTTCATTCCATTTGAGTATCTCAATAAATTATCAAAAATTTAGGCTAACAAAATATTTTGGAAAGTCAGTCAATTAGGTATGATGTTTTTGCTAATAATATTATTTACTTTGATAATCGTTTAAGCCTTGATGGTTTAAGTTATTTGTGAAATTGTAGTGGAGAAAGGCGCTTGCTCTGTGTCTCTCCGTTTTTATTTAACCTTAAGAGTAGTAGGGCTTAAATGTCAAGTACTTTTTTTATTTTATTTGGAATATAGCCCTTTGTATAAAAATCTTTATTTGAAGGCACCAGGTCCAGAGGATTCTGCCTGTAGTTCTTTAAATAAGAGAACCATTTATTCTGTGACTTTAGAATAACACAAGTTTTAAAACTCCCTAGTTGATGGAGAAACAATTCTGATTCCCCTTCTGTTTCTTTCCATCTTTAAGTAGCAAGGAGCTCTTGTTTTCTTAGTAGAGCTGCTCTAACTAGATAGTGAGCTTTAAAAAATATTTATTCTTTAAATGCTCTGGTTCTTATTTAAAATTAGTTTCTTTCCACAGAAAGATAAAATAAAACAATTTGCTACTGCCAGATGCTTCTCTCTTTTCTGGGGCCTTCTGTTTCCATTGGGCCAATCAAGGTAAGTTTGCAAGGGATTGGACCTGCTTACCCTTGCTCTAATGTGCTATTGCACTACCAAAATCAAGATACCAGCTCATCATTTTTAGTAAAATGCAGACTTTTTTTTTTTTTTTTTAAGTACTTTGTGTGTCTCATTGACATAAGCTGGTCACAGTATGCTCTATGGCCTTTTCTCTTCAGCTATATCAGTGACCATCTTCCTAGTAAGATGACTTGTTACTTGGTACACATCCATTCAAATACTCTAAATTTTGCTTTGTGGTTTTCTTCTACATTTTTCCTAGGTCACTGTATGCCAAGTGTACCTGACTATTTAGTAGAAGTCTGTCTCTCCCCATAGCTCTTATTAGGATAATAAATGTCTGCAGGTCCCAAGAGAATTCTCATTGTTTTTCCTAAAAATTAGATTATTCCTTTTTCCTCTTAATATGTAGTAATAGATATTGGATCCAAATCTTGGTAAAGCTAATTCTTATTTTAGCTTTGAAGATAAACTGAGAGGGCGTGGACAATTTAAATACTCAAGTAATCCAGAAATCTAATTTAAAGCCCTATAAACAGCTGCCTTAAAAATAAAAGTTGAGAACTAGCAAAATGTATCCTTTTTTTCTTCATCATTTCTTCTGTTGACCCATTTTCAGAAGCATTAATGAGCAGTAAGTGGTCAGAAGATACTGAGACAAAATAGGGTGCCTATATAATCACTGCAGTGACACAAAACTGGTAGGGTTGTTTCTGCCATCCTTTTTTTTTTTTTTTTCAATTCAC